CTCAGGCGGCTTTATGTTAGCAAAATCCCCAAAATGAAAGCTGGGTGCTGTCTTTGCCATCTACTCAGAAATCTGACCTGCTGCCTGTTTCACTGCAACACCCTGTTTAAAGGAGAAGCCATGAACTTTCTGAGCAATGCCGTACTCTGGACAGAAGTGCTAGGCCGAGCTTCAAACGCGCTGACGTGATGACTTACAGATTTGTATCAGGACCACAGCAGGGGAGGCACTGCTTCTCACTGCTTAAAGAGCTGAAACCAGGTGAGATACAGTGTTATCTAATAAGTCTGACCTAGAATTTTAAAATGCCTTTGATTCCAAAATTCAAAGTGAAAGTCAGAGAAATGAACCCATATGAACCAAACCCAAGAATGTATCTCTGCAAAGCACTGCGAGGTGAAAGCACAGCTTTGCAAAAGCTTTTCTTGATGTCTTCCTTCCAGCAGGCTTCTAAAACAGTTACCAACTTCTGACTGACCAAATGCAAAATGTCTTCTCTGTGCTGTTCTCAAACAGCTTTAAAAACAACTGGTCATAGATTGAGTGCATTAAGAAAATGCTTTCATCTTATGCTAGCATCTTACAGGGTTAACAGCAGTTATCTTCTTTTGCCATAACCACAGTTGACGCCAGTGTGATCTGAAGGAGTGCTGAGGTGGAGAAGAGAGGAAAATGCAAAATGAAACCCTAACAAAATACAGCTGCACGATGTTTACTAGTGTTTGCCTGACAGATGTCTCCCCCTGCTTGAGAACACCACCAACACAAGGTACACTCCACAAATGAAGTGCCACATAAGCACATCATAACAATAGGCCACTGATACACACACATATAAAATCACACAGGTATGCACAGATGTATCACCTCACCAGGTAATGCAGATCATGCTGTCACCGCTTTCTGTGAAATACCTGTATACTCCACACTCATCGCAGCACATGGAGAGGTTGTTCTTCCTGACATCTCACTATCTCCTGCTCCCAACTAGCTCCAAACAGCGCTGGGAAATTAAGTATGGAGAGAGCAGAAACCTACTCTGCCCAATTTGCAGGAGTCATTTGCTATCAGACCTGCACCCAGGCCTCTCATCCCAACATCCATCCTTTCTGCCAGTCACATACTCCACATATATTCACAGAATCACAGGTTCATTAAGGTTGGAAAAGACCTCTAAGATCATCTAGTCCAACCATCCATCAACTACCAATACTGCCTACTAAACAATGTCCCTAAGTGCTACATCCACCTTTTCTTTAACCACCACCAGGGATGATGACTCCACCACCTCCTGGGCAGCCTGTTCCAATGCCTCATCACTCTTTCTGAAAAGAAATTCTTCCTAATATCCAGGCTGAATCTCCTCTGGCACAACTTGAGGCCATTCCCTCTCATCCTATCATTTCTTTGTTGGATGCAAAAATCAGTTTGGCTCAGCTTGGACAGGTCCAGAATATGTAAAATGCTGAACTGCAAACAGCTCAGGGATGAGCCATACTTTCGGCAGTCCTCAAGTCTTGACTGATGACCCAACAGTAAGATTGGGATGGGGTTGCTATCCGTGCATCAGCACAACAGAAGAAAAACAACTTTACTGTTGGCTGCATCCACCTGCATTTACCTGATACGTCTGTGCTCAATTCCAAAGGGGACTGCACTGAATGAATGTGCATGCATGGAAGACAGGGCAGATCAGTATCCTATGCTTGCACATGAAAACTCTCAAGTGACACTGCTGAAGAAAAAGCCAGGCAGCTAAGCAGTTAGTGCAGATTCTGAGCTGCAGCCCACTGACACTTCCCACCAATACTCCAGCCCAAATAACTTTAAAGCTAACTTCAGATTCCTGCTTTTTCATATCTAGGTTTAAAGCCATACATCTGTTCTTTTCTCTCCCAGTGCCGATGGCACTCAGCAGCCATCCTGAGGACGTGCCTCTTCCTAGATGGGAACCAAATCAGAATGAAGATACCTGCACAAGTGTTTTCTGCAAGCACCATCCTCACAGCTGCAGATGCTTTTGCTTCTTGACCTGTAGCAAAGGGATATCATCTTCACAGCAGATGCCAGTGGACAAATTTCCTTGCATGTGTTAAAAACCATGAAATCTCTGTTCTCTAAGTAAAATCATGTACCACTTCCTCTACACAGGGTATTCTGCTACCTACATAAAACATTATTGTGATCTTTAACCTTGTGGGGGAACCATGCTGTATGCAATACTGGGGAAAAATAACATGGGAACAGGCAAACATACATGCAAAGCTCCAACATTGTTCCAGCTGTGCCCCTTTAAATGTGCTCAGCATGCAGCCTGTTTTTCTGTCTGTATCCCCACTGTGCTCTCTTCTGCCTTTAATTCAGCCTTCCTTCTAGCACCTCCCACTATCCTCTCTCTCTGTTTCAAAGCATCCCGATTAGCAGGAACAACACTGAGCAGAGAAGCGGTGCCAGAGAGTTGGAGGAGATTCTGTCCCCGTGCGAGGAATGACCTTCATCCCTGCACTCTGTCACTGAACCATGATCACAACCTTTGGTTCCTTCTGCTGTCTTAGAGGCAGCTGGACAGACACCCTATGAGAAGCAAGCCAGGCTGCTCCAGCTCACTGGGACAGAATAAAATGCTAGTTTTGAATGAGTTAGCAAAAACAGCTCCAACTGATTCAACGGGCTCACCTAAGAATTACATGAAGAATCACCTCTCCATTGCATTTTTCCAGCTGCAAACAACTGCACAGCAGGTTCCAGGACTGTGTTCTTGGTCAGGAGCCCCCTCCCAGGGTGCACACAGACCCACGCTCCTCATTCCCCACAAACACAGCCCATTGCTCCTCTCTGCTCTCCTGCTTCAGCAATGCACCCTGGCTTCTCTGCTACTGCCAGTCTTGACCACAGTACGCACCCGATTCTGGAACGGAGACATTTAATTACTGCTATTTGGTCTTGCTTTTGTTTGTTTCATTTGTTATGTGGCTTTGGAATCCAGAGACATAGGCATATGGCTTTGTAAGAGCTAAAAACAATGAAATCTGTTTTGCTGCACACTTCTAACAATAATTAAATACAAACTTTCCTTGAAGCTTCTCTTGCAACTAGAACGACTACAGCATTTCTCCTTCTGCAGGGATGCGCTGCTCTCTGCAAGACAAGACTGTCCATGACAGCAAGCTCCAACCACTCCACAATGACATGGGGTCGAGAAAAAATGCTCATCACCTTTCCATCAAGTGTGGCTCACTCACAGTACCAGAAGGTCCAGAAGTCACCCAAGCAACCAAGCACAGCCTAGCAGGTGCCAGTCCTGCACAGCCCCGCTTGCTGCAAGCCTCCTCTGGCTCGTGGCAGTGCCAGCTCACACAAATGGAAAGCATATGCTGAAGTTTCAAGAAATCACTTTCCTAGAAAAAGAAAACATATACAGGGAATTTTTGTTTGAGAATTAATTTTCCAAATACAAGTTTCATTTTCCTACTCAGAGCTTCTCCCTGCAGCTGCAAATTCTAGAATTTACATATTAAAATATTTTAAAACTTAAAGTCACAGTCAAGACAAGCATTCTGGCACTTATATTTTTTTTTGTGAACCTTTCCTTTGAAAAGTGGGAGAGAAAACAAATTTGCTGCTTCTATTGCAAATGACGGAGCACCAGGTTACCGAGGGCTCATCGCTGGCGTTGAGCAACATCAAACTGCTGGCTCCAGGCTCTGTTCTGTTTGTGTGTGCATAATCGGGTCTTTGGAAAGAGAAGTCGATGGGCTTCAGGCAGCAGCTGTGACAAGGAGACACTACATGAAAATTGTTTTTATTCATGCTCCCAAGGCATCTATCCTAAACAAAAGGCTATAGGTGCTGACAAGCTTCAGCACTACAGATTAAACCAAGACAGGAAAAGTAATTGAAGGAGAAAAATAAACAAAGGAATATTTTAGTAATCTCGAGGATGAAAGGCTCTTTTGACTGGCTTTCCTAGCCTTCTAACACAAACCTTTAGCTTTGCTTGGAAGAATACTAGATTCTCTACGGGATGCCAAGTCATGAATCCATCAGAAAAATCTATTTTTGAAATCTTTCTATCATGCTACCAAAGGCAGAAGTTGTGTTGACAAAAGTGTCCATTGCGCTTGACACAGCCTTTCCTTGTTCCTTGTTTCAAAAACCATGAAGGAGGTTGGGACTAAGGGATTTATAGATGTTAAGCAAAGCCCGTCTCTTTAATCTGAAATCTGTCTTGCTTTGCCCTTAGGTTGACATTTATTGTTTAAAAACCTTGAGAAAATGTACTGAGGAATTGCCCATTCCCATCAGTTTCAGTATGAAATGTTTAAAGTGCACATATTTCATCTAGTGCCAGGTCCAGGATCACAGCCAGGTCTTGTTTGACAACCAGATGACTAACACAAAGGGGTTCCCCTTATGAAAACGTTTAGATATGTGAATTGGCACACGCGAGCAGATCACAACATACCCTTTTGGGAGCCAGATCACAGTCATGTGCAGGGCATATGGGCAGCCACATGAAAAGCACGCTGCCACGCCGAGCGGGGAACGGTCGTGTTGAATAAGCAGGAGAGCAAACGTGAGGGTCATTTTATATTTCACTGTAATGCGCAGAGCTGCTTAAGGGTGTTAAATGGAAACAATTTTAAGAGTGCAAATGAAAACTGACCGCACGCTGCCTGGAGGTTGAGTAATGCCGATGTGTAAATTTGTGATTACTCAGTGCACACATGGCCTGTGCTTTTGGCATGGGAGTAGGGTTCCCACATCAACTGTAGGCATGAGGCATCAACTAAAGATGTGAGTGGCACTCTTATAGGGTCCCCTTCATCTTCAACTATAAAACAATTTATTCTAATTAAACAGAAGTATTTTCTGCCTGTCAATGCAAATGAGTCCCTGAAATACAAATCTACTGAATCAGAAGTGAGAGAAGCATCCCTGTGATATCGCAGGTCAGACTCCAAGCAAATGAAACATTAAAAAAAAAAAAAACAACGCAAAATGTTTTGGGAGGTGCAGAAATATTGTAAAAATGAACTTCCCCTCTTTTTTATATTCTTTGTATGGCCTTCTCCATGCTACCAACCTTACACCTGTACATTGCCAGCTCTGGAAAGAAAACCCAAACACTGTGCTCCATTCACTAGATCTCTGCAAGCCCTTCAGACAGATGACAGAGACCCAGCAGCTCAGCTTACCCTTCCATCCCCTGGCCCAAAGCTGGCCAGGACAAAGTGTCAGCTTGGCACATGGCTCAGCACAGCCCTGTGACGCTGCACGTAGAATGGAAAGCAGCTTCTCAGCACATGGTGCCATGCTGACAGTCTCACTGCCCCTGGAACAGCACAAGAGCACACCAGGAGGCTGCCAGGATGCTGGGCCTTCTCTTCAAGTCGTTGTGCAATGACTACAAAGTTATGGTAAATTAAATGGCAGTATTTGACTTGGTAAATATTTTGCATGAAGATAAGGCAACACGATCACAAAGAATTTCTTGGCGGGGGTTGGTCTCTCAATTAATATTTACCCATCAACTCCCTGTCATTCCACCACACCGATTCCAAAATCCTAACAGCTATGCACATATGGCTCTCCGTGGACATGTTTTAGCTGGGGAATCTTCTTTTGCAGCTCTTAGGAGGTCCAGCTGTTCCTGCAGCTCCCTCTGAAGCTTTGATTCCTCCTCATTACCACCTGTAGACACTTCCGTGCAATGATTGTGTGACAGCGCCACAGAACAAGAGATGTCCTTAACAAAGCCAATCTCCAATTTCCTTTTGATTTTTGTGCAGTAAGATGTTTCCAGGGCACAGCTGTTCCGTCAGATCCTAAGTGACAAAAAACACAAGAATTTAGAAGAATAAAATGGTGCAGTGCCCACCCCAACCCACCAAAGCAATCTGGATGTAGGATCAGCAGACATGTCATCTGTTTTGACCATGGAACAAACCATCAAAAATTAAATTATGAAACTCTCCCTGGCTGTTATGCCTTATGCTAAAAACACCAAGCAGGCACTGCGAGGCTACGGTGGAAGAGCAGCCTTTACCCATCATGTTCAGGAGCCCACTGTATTCCCTCAGCAACTGGGAAATGACCTGAAATACTCGGTTACTCTCCAAGCCACAACTGAGCCAAGACGCAGACTTCCTAGTGGGATACTTCAAAAAGGCAAACTCATCTTGAAAAAACATTTTAAACTAACATTTTGGTTTATGAATTTCTCCCACCTCCCATGTAAAGCAGAGCCTACTCAAGAGGTTATCGCGGGAGAATCCTGGCTGGAAAGGACCTCACAAAGTTATCTGGTCCAACCTCCAGCTTAGCACGGGTCAGCTATGAGACCAATGCTCAGGACCAACCACTCCGTTCTTGAAGCTCTCCCAAGGATGGAGACTGAAGTGCCTCTCTGGAGAATCCTGATCCATTGCCACGTAGCAAATTGGCTCACAACCAAGGCTAGTTCAATGTGCCTGCTGTGCAGCTCCAGCAGAACACTTCTGGAAGTCTGCCAGCTGCCTCCAAAATGCTTGGTGAAGAGGAATTTTCAAGTGCCTGTCTTACTGTCAGCAGCCTCCATCATTAAAGAGACGTTGTGTCGCACTGTAATATGAGGGTCGTGTTCAGAGCTGACAGTGAAATATCCTCCTGCCTGCACACCAAAGGCACGTTTTCTGCTTCTGTTTCAGATACCTTCGATACATCTCCCATTTCACTGTAAAACTGCTACGCCACATATCAACACTATTATAATAGCTGACAGCAGCTAGTAATTTCTGCTGTTAAGATTGCAAATGACCTTCAGATAGCTTTGCATTCTTACAACTTTCTCAAGTACCATGGGGACTGAAGTCTGATAAAACTGCTTCCAATGGTAACAGCAAACACAGAACACACAACCACGATTCAAGTAATTTATGTGCTCAGTTGAAGAATGTGGCAGGCTATTTCATATGCTTACAAATCAAATGAGCAAACTCAGTGTTCAATACAGTCGCCTTCTCTTACTTAATGCAGAGTAACACGTTTCTTCTGTTCCATCATCAATCAGAACAGGATCCTGAACTGAATGCATCGGGGGCTGCTGAATTTGCTTCAGTGATTTCAGCACCGAATCAGACGAACATGCAAAAATAGAATAAATCTATTTTCACTCCCCAAAAAGCTATGGATGAAGTAATCTCCACTTGTAAAGGCAGAGCACTCATTTCTCCCTCCTGAACATGAGAGCTCCAACACATTATGCAATTGCACGTTAATTTCTTGGACAGAAAGCTAGATATAATTGAATTACAGACACGCATTGGAAACACCATAAGTGAACTACACAAAATGCCACCTTTCTATTTATGCAAAGGATTTACTATTATTAATCATTGCTGACTGCCAGCTTAGTGCTCTGCAGTTATTCTCACCTCTGATAGGAAGCCACTTACAAATGGGGAGATGTGCTTCTGGTTTATCTCATCTGGGGATACAAATGAGTTGTTACCGCCTTATCTCCCCATAACATTGCAGAGCCAGTAGTGAAATCCACATGATTTAGGTTCACACCGGGTGGGAAATGCTGAACATGGAAAAAGGCAAATTATCTTCCCTGGGCTCTTTTCTTAGCTCCAGGCTTTGCACCATGCCAAGAAAAAGCTCCCTAAACATTCTTGTCTGAGAACCTGACGGAACAACTGGCAAACTGGGGCCTATATTTCTTATAGCCATTAACATACATTCAACAGTCATCCTGCCTTTGCTCTGTGAGCCTGCACACATCCAAAGGGAAAAAAAAAAAGCCTGGAATAATATCAGGAAATGCCGTGATTAACTTCGCCATGGCAAAACTGCCAGGTGAGGGTTTTTCAGGTTGGCCCCGGCTTCACCCCATCTTACCCTGCTGCATGGCACACCTGGGCAGAGAAGGTCAGCAAGAAAGGAGTGCCAAAGGAGTGAACAGCACTGCGATTCATTGGAGCACCCACTCTGTTATCAGGCCTGGGAGCAGGATGTGGGATTTGTGCCTCATTTCGTGTTAATTCTTCACACTGCCGAGCTGGCTGCCAAATAAATGTAGCAGCCAGTGAACACTGACCTTACCAGTTTTAGAACATCAATTATCGTCATTATATTATTAAAACCAGCAACACGCCTGGAATTACACCAGTATGGAGATGATCTCTGACCAAGCAACTTCCTGCCATATGGAGATAACCACATTAGTCCATAGCACATTCACACTCATTTAAAGTGTATTACACAGCAAGTATTGGTGTAATGATAACAGCATATTCAGAACAGGGGAGGACTGGGAGGGGGTTAGACACTAAAAAAGTCTGTCTATTTCTCCATTTCATTGTATAGCAAGCGTCACATTGCTTCCGGATTCAAATACAGAACGTCCTTATGGCAGCCACATTCAAACCTGCACGCTCAGATGGATGCACATTACTTGCTATTGCCAAAACACGGCATGCTTTTAATGAAGTTCACCACCCCAACGCAGTCAACAGTACCTCTGTGAGCGTCTGACCACAGGTACAGACTGAGCATAACCACTCAGCATGAGACAGCAGGTATTCTCGCTCAGTGTTGTACTCAGAGCAGCTGCTGCCTTTCAGTGAATCCAACAGAGCTACTGCTGCACCTCAGCATTATTTCAGGCATTGATCATTAGTGCAGAAAACATTTTGCTCAGAGCTGACAGCTGTCACCCACTGTCCTTGAAGAACTGTCTCTGTCAGGACTGATTTTAAGTCCAAAGTCAGGAACAACTTCATTGTTGCTTAATTTTTTCTATTTAGTCTTACTTAGTCTTAAAAGTTACACATATCTATGATTTTTTTTACTCCCAGTATTATGTTTTAAAGCAATTAAAGACTAAGACTTACAGATGTGCCTGTGAGGAAACTGGCATCCAAGATGTTAAATGCCTGCGCAGCGCTGCAGAGTGCAGTTCATATTCACAGGAGGTTTCCACTAACTTGCTTGGGCAAACTGAGCAAATGTCAGTGGGAATTCTGACCCTGTGCATAACATTAATCTTCATAACTACTCGTCCAGATGTTTACATGTTCCTAGGATGGAGATGGATTTTACTCATGTTAATTTTTGCTATTTGGAAGAAGAAACTGAGGCTCTGGCATCCATCTAGTTCTGTGCTCAGCTGAGGACAGAGATCCCTCATTGCAGCAACGCCACCTCCAAGGGCACAAAGTCTGTGCTACCAATCAGATTCCTATACCTATGGAAACCTCCAGCCTGTGTCACCTGCCACACAGTCCCCAAAGGCTCACCACTAGGTTAGAGATGTTTTTGCCTACCAAACAGCCTCTCAAGCTGCATTTAAAATCAGATGTGCTTGTGGTTTGCTGCGGATAACTGCTGTTCAGAAACAATGACCTGATTAATGCTGACCTGAAGAACCAGGTAACAGTAGCAAATTACAGAATCACAGAATCACAGAATCACCTGGGTTGGAAGGGACCTCAAGGATCATGTAGTTCCAACCTCCCTGCCTGGCAGGGCCACCAAACATACACATTTAGATCAGAATTGCAAAACAAATTGCAAACTGCGGGAAGAATACAAGGGTCCTTTTAGATCTTTTAGATGATATGATCTCAAATCCAATTTCAATATGCCTACATAGTCTCTGCTGTGCCTTCCTGACAGCAGCACCCAGCAGGGAAGACTGCCAGTCAGACACTCCAGCATGTCTCCATCACCTGGGATCACCAACATCACTGTGAGTCACCAAAGCTTCATTAGTGACTTCTGCAAGGTTATATAGGAGTGCTGGTTTTGTCAGCCAGTCATCCAACAGGAACAGAAGCTGGTATGCAGCCCCCTAGCACAGCCCTTTCTCCCCAGCATACTTTCCCAATGAGACACTTGGTTCTATTTAAGCCTGAACAACATTGATAGAATCCACTGCTCCCCCAGAAATGAGCACAACCCAGACTCTGCTGGACTGTCGGTCTTTGCCCTTGTTATCTCAGCTGATAGGAGGCTGCCCTAGCAAATAACTGCCCTGGGCAACCTGAAAGAAAGCTCTGAGGAAAACTGCCATTATAAAAAATTAATCTTTACGTAGGAGAAGCTGGTTAGATAGGATCACTATAGGATTTTTAAGCTGACTTCAAAATGCTACTAATTAGGCAGAAGATTCATTTGAGTCATGTATGGAAAGAAGCCCAGGGCCTCCACCCTCCTGCTGTATTTACGAGAAGGGCGCATCCTTACACCTCGTGTTCCTGCTGCCATCTGCCATTGCCTGCTGCAGCTTCCTGAGACACTGGTGAATCCTGAGTCTCCCATGGTCCATTAAACGAAGCGTACAGACACTGGGGAGAGAGTTCTCATTTCACCAGAACAAGATGTTGAGCTGCTTTTGTTTCCGTGGCTTTTGTTTTGTCCCCTATCAGCAAGTCTGTGCGACACACTGAAGGTACTGACATACTGTGCTGGCTTATCTGGAACTAATCACCCTGCGTTTCAGCATGTGTCCTTCAAAGGGATGGCACACGCTCAGTTTGCAGTTTCAAAGATCACACTGTTTGTTAGCACAGTCAGCAGTTTACCAAACAGAAAATGCAACTCTGCTCCTCCACGAGCGGTGCCTAGGCAGACTTCTGCAGCTCTGTTCTTTCGTTGGCTGCTTTGAACCAAGCTGCCTGCAACAGATCCTAAGAGATTTAAAATCTGCAGGTTAGGTCGCTTCAGTCATGCCTGTCAAATGCCCAACATTCATTTGATAAGATCCTTATATTTTTACTTCTATCTTCCCTGTTTGTGACTCATTAAACCAACAATTTGCAACTTTTGACTGATCAAAGGGCAATTTTTCAGAAATTGAAACAAGTCGTTAGATTATTCAGCGTCTGATGATAGAGGAATAGAATCTCACAGATTCCTCAGGTCAGCTGTTCCCATGGTTTACAACAGCACAACTTCCACTTTCATGGCATTACCTCACTACCTGCTTCTCCCTCCATTCCAGCTTGGAAGTCCCCCAGTGTTCCCCTTTACCACAGGAGCCTCTGGTCAAAAAAGGGGGTAGGACCTCTTACTGGGAAAAGACCCAAAGGGAACTGCAAAGAAGGAAAGCTTCTACGATACGTGGTGATGAATGGAACAGGGGACGCTTTCAAATACACTATTTTCCACAGCTGACTTTTCATACAGAAACTATGCATTCCTATTACTAGATTGTTTGGAATTCCCAGTGCCTTTTGAGGATGGAGACCAAGATGTCAGAGCTATTGCTTTCTTTCTGATGCATTCTGACCATTTGTGTTTCAAAAACATTTGCCATGGGAGTGTCTGGTGCAAGAGATTAAATAGCCAAGTTTGAGATGTGCACACAAGACTCGTGTTTTGATGGCTGCCGTTGTTTTGACAGCTGTAGAGATCTACTGTCAGCTTCTACCTCTGCTGCTTCCCTTCATATGCTGATAAATGTGAATACGTGTGCAAATCTCTCATAAAAACAGAGTTTGTTTGTGGGAAGAAAGAGTTTCAAGGAGGATTTGTTCGTTCTGTTTTTCCTTTCATACTGAAAGGAAGATCAGTAGATATACTGAAATCACAACTTCCTTCTGGCCTCTGTTCCATTCAAGACTTCGTGGAGACTTCAGCTCATGTTCCTGTCCTTGTGGCAGCACCATTACTGCAGGGAGCCAGTGCTGAGACACTTCAAGGTGGCAATGCAGGGGAATATAATGCATATTTCTGTTGGATTAGTTCTCTACTGGCTGAATGTGACAGAACAGCTTGGCCCAGGTTCAGGTCAGTGAATTAATGACAATTATTTTTTCCAGACTTGATCCGATAAACGAAAGATAACTGGGGGAAAAAAAAAAAAAAAGTAAATAAGCATGTATTTAACATGCCGTGATGAAAGAAATGGAAATTACCCTACCTGACAGAATCAATAAAGACTCATTAACTGCCGGGAAGATTAATGGGCTATGAGAAGAGCTAGATATACAGCCATTAATCTTTCCTGAGATGCTGCATAAGTAATGATTACGGTGGCCCTCCTTCATTAGCAAATCCATACTGTGCAAACTACCATAGGGTGCACAAGCAGGCTCAGCCTATGAGCTCAGCTCCTTCAGCTTCTGGTTACTGCAGCAGGAATGTGTAAGTGGATCATCCACTTACAGGAACAGTGCTGCTCAGGATTTTCTCCAGACACCTATCTGCAAACCATTTGCTCTTTAACTCCTTGCTCTCTAGGCAACAACCAAATTAGCTCCATAACACACACCCTGCACTGCACATCTGGTGGTTGCTGTATGGAGCCCCGTGGCCTTGTGTCAGCTCACAGCAATGCAGGAACTCAAGGAAATCTTCTAGCTCTTTTAATTGCTGCAGACCCAGCCCTGTGTGCTCAGCAGAAGGGCTGCAAACTCCTTCCTCTGCTGCAGTGCAGTAAGAAACTGTGATCCAGCAACCTGTCCTCAGGTGCCATGGTGTCAACAGAGAGTAGAGAGCAAATGTATGATGAACACAAAATGAGCTACGTCTCCATTTCTGAGCATACTCAGAGAAACAAAAGCAGAACACAAATAGCTTCAAATTCCAAAGAAAAAGAGGACCAAATATTATGATTGCCAAGACCGTAACTCTGCATACATCCAAAGCTTGAAACAGATCTTGTAAGTACTTAACACTGCATGATATCATCTGTAATGCTATATGAGAAGCTTTAAAAGCAGATTCATATAGAAAACAATAAATCATCTGCTTCAGTGGCTGGCAGCCAGGGTGACGTTACCAAATACCATCTCCACCGGCCCCACAGCTGAATGGGGCATTCCCCAGGGCTGTGTGTGCTCTGGGAGCACTGCCACAGTGGCCCTGCAGCACAGACAGCCCCGCACTGAGCCCTGTCCCCAACTCAGGTGATGGGAGCCCGTCACTGGGACACAAATCCCCAGGGACAGCTGGGAGAGATGGAGCTGCTCCAAACAGAAGTGACCTAGAATCACTCTTTCTGAAAGAGCTCAGGAAGGGAGGGAGGGAGAAACTGAGCTATGCACAAGATGGAAAGCCATGATTCAGCTCTGATTGCCTGCTGTGCATCCCCTGCAGCCCACCTGGCCATGGGTGCACTACAGCCTTTGGCCAAAAGAAGGTGCTCTGCCCGCACCCTGAGACAGCTGTGCCCCTGCATCTCTGTGCCTCCCAGCTGTCTCTTGCACCATACATATTTATTTTCGTGTGCCCTCAAATTAATCCTTTTCCACTGGACTAGCATTAAGTGTCAGAAAAAAACAAACCTCTTCATGCCTACATTTTGGGGAGAACAAGCACATACAGTTGCTTGGATAGCAGAAATACCCACTTCTTTTCCAACAACAGAAATCCACAGAAGCCCTCAGTTCATAGGGTAACAGCAGTGCCCCATTATTCCAACACTATTTGCCTTAATCACCTTTTTACTCATTGCTTCATCCCATTCTGCTGCTCTCCCAAAGAGGCCAGTCCCACCCAATGCATTTATTTGTCAGTTTGGTCATCTACAGAATCTACAGAACCTTCTGCATCCAGTCTAATCCTGCCTACTCAGAGATGTTAATTCCATAGATCCCAGAGCATCTCTGGGGGCTTTTGCCACTTCTATGGCCTAGGTTGCCTTCCCTGTACAGTTATAAACTTTCACTTAACCAAAAGCCTGCAGTTATCTGCAGGGCCCTCTGTTTTCCAGACTTCCCTGAGACCTGATTAAATGGAGGTCAGATGTGCTCCCCGAGGGTTCATTCCACAAAGTTCTTCATGTGCTGAAGTCAGGCTCCAGTGCACAGGTTTATGTGTGAGCCATGAATCCATCCACCCGAAGTCAGCCTTCGGTGCAAACTCTCACCTTGCTGGGTTGAGATGCCTTTGAATGTCATTATGAGAACCAACTACCTCTGAGGTCAAGTTACCCCAAATTATGATGGCCAGATGGTCTGTTAGAATGACACCCAGTTAAGTGCTTTTAGCTGAACCTTTGGCTACAGCGATTAAACACTCTCATTCTCCTAACCGATTGGTCATTGCTAAAAGCCTGAAAGGCTTCAAAAATCAAGTCCTCTTCCATTTTCAATGACACAGGCAGGAAGTGGTTAAAAAGCACTACCAAAAAATCACTTTCTTGGACTTCCATGAATTGTATACCACATAACTTACTTATTTTTGATTGAAATATGTCAGCCTAAAAAGAAATTACTTGAAGCTGTTCCTCTGAAAACGCTAAGCTGTACCACCTTTCTCAAAATGTGAATCACAGAATGGCCAGGGTCAGAAGGGACCTCAAGGATGATGAATCTCCAACCCCCCTGCCACAGGCAGGGCCACCAACCTCCCCATTTAATACCAGACCAGGCTGCCCAGGGCCCCATCCAACCTGGTCTCGAACACCTCCAGGGACAGGGCATCCACAGCCTCTCTAGAGTGCTGGTGAGCTCTAGGCAGCCTCACCACTCTCTCTGTAAAGAACTTTCCCCTGACATCCAACCTAAGCCTTCCCTCCCTCAATTTAAAACCATTTCCTCTTGTTCTGCTGTTATCTACCCTTGTAAAGAGTCGGCTCCCCTATATCTCTTCTAATTGGAAGTCCAAATTAGAAATGTCACTCAAAATGGATTTTGAGAATAAACAAAACTTGGATTTAAGTTCTCTTTCTGCAGAGATGGCATGTTTGCAAAAATGTGCCTTGAAACGCTTTCCTCTCATCCTTCAACTGGGACCAGTTTGTTGAAGAATCTGAAGGACATGACATTTATAAGTTCCATTTGTATGGTCAGAACTGAAGCACAGGATGGAGGAGCAGCACCTCGCTGCAGGGCCAGCTGTCTGGGCACACAGCATGCATTGCTGGCAGCTGGAGCGAGCACTGAAGGAATGAGAGGTACTGCTTTGTGTTCTCAGCCACTGCAACTCGGGAATAAGGTCCTACTCAAGGGCAGCACCCTGCACACACAGCTCCACTCCTGACACACACAGCACACGTGTGCTGTTGGTAAGAGGGGAATACAGCCCTCAGACTTTTTTCTGTGGGAGGCTTCTCTCATTGGCAGGAAAGGCTGTCTGTGATAGTAACGTATCAGGTTCAAAGTAAAAGAGCCAGCACCAAGTTAGAGTTCAACACTGAAAGTAAATAGATCAGTGTAACTCAGGTAGTATTGCATCTCTACTTATTTGCAAGCAAAACAAGTTTACAAGTTTGGCACCATAAAGGGGAACAATGTGCAACAAACCTGAGAAGCATGACATAAACTCAAACTGCCTACCAGTCTGTGTGCAGACCGCTCTGTGTGCAGACCACTCTGCAGGACCCAGCCCCACTGCACCCAAACCCCTGACAGGTCCCAGCACATCCACTGCCAATCCAGACATGCTTACTAATGGGGGAAAACGACTGCCCTGGGATTGCTGGTTTGCTCGAGTCCCTGGAAAGCAGAAAA